CCCTCTCCCCTCTCCCCTCTCCCCTTTCCCCTTTCCCCTTTCCCCTTCCCCTTCCCCTTTCCCCTTTCCCCTTTCCCCTTTCCCCTTCCCCTTTCCCCTTTCCCCTTCCCCCTTCCCCTTCCCCGCGGCTCCGGAGCCGCTCCCGAGGGACGGGAATTGCGGGATCCCCCCCGGGGGGGTCTCATCCCACCCCTGACCCCCCTTTGGGGTCCCCCCTGTGCCCAGGAGGGTCGCTGGGCGGCCGAGAAGGTGATCCAGGTGCCCCCCAAGAAGGTGGAGGGGTGGCTGCTCCCGGAGATGCCAGGTCGGTGTCGGGGGGGGGTGTTTGGGGCCGTTCCCTTCCCGGGACGTTCCCGATCCCGAATCCAGCTCAATATTCCCTCCCCGAAGGGTTCATCACGGACATCCTGATCTCGCTGGACGACAGGTTCCTGTTCCTCAGCAACTGGATCCACGGGGACGTGCGGATGTACGACGTGTCCGACACCCGCCGGCCCCGGCTCGTGGGGCAGGTGAGGGGGAAAAAAATCCTCCCTGGAATTGGGGGAGACGAAAACTACTGCCTGGAATTTAGGGAGACAGGGAAAGAACTCGTGGAACGGGCCGGGGGATCTTGATCCCAATCCCGGTCCCAATCCCGGTCCCTGCAGTGGGGTGGGATGAAGAGGACGTTGCCTTTTGGGATGGGATGGAATGAAGAGGACATTTCCCTGTGGGATGGGATGGGATGGGATGGGACGGGATGGGAGGACGTTTCCCTTTGGAATGGGATGGGAGGACATTTCCCTTTGGAATGGGATGGGAAGATGTTTCCCTATGGGATGGGCTGGGAGGACATTTCCCTTTGGAATGGGATGGGAGGACATTTCCCTTTGGAATGGGATGGGATGGGATGGGAGGACGTTTCCCTTTGGAATGGGATGGGATGGGATGGGATGGGAGGACATTTCCCTTTGGAATGGGATGGGATGGGCGGATGTTTCCCGATGGGATGAGATGGGATGGGCTGGGAGGACATTTCCCAATGGAATGGGATGGGATGGGGTGATTCCCGCCTTTCCCTGGGAATCCACTGACCCTTTCTGTGCTTCCTGTGCCCCCACAGGTGTTCTTGGGGGGCAGCATCACCCGGGGGGGGCCGGTGAAGGTCTGTGAGGACGAGGAGCTGCAGAGCCAACCCGAGCCCTTCGTCATCCAGGTGAGCTCGGGGTGTCCCCAAAACCCTCCCGGAGGGGGATCCGCTCCCCCACATCCCGCGGGATGGGCGTGAGGGAGGTGGGGGGTGACCACGGTGGGGGCTTCTCCCACCCTCTACATCCCATCCCATCCCATCCTAAAGGGAAATGTCCTCTTCATCCCACCCCATTCCACAGGGAAATGTCTTCCCATCCCATCCCATTCCAAAGGGAAATGTCCTCTTCATCCCACCCCATTCCACAGGGAAATGTCCTCTTCATCCCACCCCATTCCACAGGGAAATGTCCTCTTCATCCCATCCCATTCCAAAGGGAAATGTCCTCTTCATCCCATCCCCTCCCACAGGGAAGTGTCCTCTTCATCCCATCCCATCCCAAAGGGAAATGTCCTCTTCATCCCACCCCATTCCACAGGGAAATGTCCTCCCATCCCATCCCCTCCCACAGGGAAGTGTCCTCTTCATCCCAGCCCAGCCCATTCCACAGGGAAGTGTCCTCTTCATCCCATCCCATCCCAAAGGGAAATGTCCTCTTCATCCCACCCCATTCCACAGGGAAATGTCCTCCCATCCCATCCCATTCCACAGGGAAGTGTCCTCTTCATCCCATCCCATCCCACCCCATCCTCTTCATCCCAGCCCAGCCCAGCCCATTCCAAAGGGAAATGTCCTCCCATCCCGTTCCAAAAGGAAATGTCCTCTTCATCCCACCCCATCCCATCCCACCCATCCCATCCCATCAATCCCATCCCATCAATCCCATCCCACCCACCCCATCCCATCAATCCCATCCCACCCACCCCACCCCTTCCCAGGGCAAGCGGGTCGCGGGGGGGCCGCAGATGCTGCAGCTGAGCCTGGACGGGAGGCGGCTCTACGTGACCACGTCCCTGTACAGCGCCTGGGACCGCCAGTTCTACCCCGACCTCATCACGTGAGTGCCCCGAGAACGGGGGCTGGGACGGGCACGGGGACCCCCCTGACCCCCCTGACCCCCCCGACATCCCCCTGACATCCCCCTGACCCCTCCTGACCCCCCCTGACCCGCCCTGACATCCCCCTGACATCCCCTGACACAGCCCCGACTCCCCCCCCTGACAGCCCCCTGACATCCCCATCCCCACCCCCCCCGCATCCCCACCCTGACATCGCCCCCTAACCCCCAGACCCCCCCTAACATCCCCCCCCCCGACATCCCCCGGACATCCACACTGACCCCCCCTGGCATCACCCCCCTGAACCCCCCACACCTGAGCCCCCACTGACCCCCCCGGACCCCCCCTGCCCGCCCTGACATCCCCCTGACAATCCCCTGACATCCCCATGACATCCCCCTGACCCCCCGACCCACCTGACACGCCCTGACATCCCCCGACATCCCCCCCGACATCCCCCCCCTGACATCCCCCTAACCCCCCTGACCCGCCCATGACATCCCCCTGGACATCCCCCTGTACATCCACTGACATCCCCGGAACAGTCCCCTGACACCCCCCCCTGACGCCTCCCGACATCCCCCTGGCCCCCCTGACCCCCCCGCCCCCCGTTCCCGCAGGGAGGGGGCCGTGATGCTGCAGCTGGACGTGGACCCGGAGCGGGGGGGCCTGAGCGTCAACCGGGAATTCCTGGTGGATTTTGGGCAGGAGCCCGGGGGGCCCTGCCTGGCCCACGAGATGCGGTACCCGGGGGGGGACTGCACCTCCGACATCTGGGTGTGACCCCCCCCCGTGCCCCACATAGTCCCTCCCGTGCCCCCACAACCCCTCTGTGCCCCCATAGTCCCTCCTGTGCCCCCCACAACCCCCCCTGTGCCCCCCATAGTCCCTCCTGTGCCCCCCACAACCCCAGTGTGCCCCCCACAACCCCCCCTGTGCCCCCCACAACCCCCCCATGCCCCCACAGTCCCCTTGTGCCCCCCACAACCCCCTCTGTGCCCCCACAACCCCTCTGCCCCCCACAACCCCTCTGCCCCCAACCCCTCTGTGCCCCTCACACCCCCCCTGTGCCCCCCACAACCCCTCTGTGCCCCCATAGTCCCTCCTGTGCCCCCCACAACCCCCCCTGTGTCCCCCATAGTCCCCTCTGTGCCCCCACAAACCCCCCGTGCCCCCCACAGCCCCTCTGTGCCCCCACACCAACCCCCCGGTGCCCCCCCATAACCCCCACCCCCTGTGCCCCCACAGCCCCCCGCTGTACCCCCACAGTCCCCTTGTGCCCCCACCAACAACCCACATGTGCCCGCCCACCCCCCCTGTGCCCCCCCACCCATCCCCGGCCACCACAACCCCCCCGGTGCCCCCCCACACCCCTCCTTACCCCTGGAGTTGGGAATTCCGGAGCAGGAGGATTTGGGGATTGGTTGCCCCCCCCCCCCCCCCCCCCGGGAGGTTTGTCCTGCAGGGGAGAAATAAAAAATAAACACCCAACACCCCCCCAGCAGTTATTTCAGCGTGTTACACACGTGTTACACACAACATGCACCTTACACGTGTTACACACACGTTACACACAGCACACACCTTACACACGTTACACATGTGTTACACACAACATGCACCTTACACGTGTGTTACACACGAGTTACACGCAACATGCACCTTACACGTTACACACTTGTTACACTCTGCACACACCTTACACACGTGTTACACACGAGTTACACACAACATGCGCCTTACATGTGTTACACACACGTTACACACAGCACACACCTTACACACGTTACACACGTGTTACACACGAGTTACACACAACATGCGCCTTACACGTGTTACACACACGTTACACACAGCACACACCTTACACACATGTTACACACGAGTTACACACAACATGCACCTTACACGTGTTACACACACGTTACACACAGCACACACCTTACACACGTTACACATGTGTTACACACAACATGCACCTTACACGTGTTACACACGAGTTACACGCAACATGCACCTTACACGTTACACACTTGTTACACTCTGCACACACCTTACACACGTGTTACACACGAGTTACACACAACATGCATCTTACACACGTGTTGCACACATATTACACATGTTACACACTGCACACACCTTACATATGTGTTACACACAGCACACACCTTACACACGTGTTACACACACGTTACACACAGTACACACCTTACACGCGTGTTACACACAGCACACACCTTACACATGTGTTACACACACGTTACACACAGTACACACCTTACACGCGTGTTACACACAGCACACACCTTACACACGTGTTACACACACGTTACACACAGTACACACCTTACACGCGTGTTACACACGAGTTACACACAACATGCACCTTACACACGTGTTACACACATATTACACACAGCACACACCTTACGTGTTACACACGATTACACACATATTACACACAGCACACACCTTACACACGTGTTACACACGTCACACACACGTTACACACACACGGCGCACAATGACGTCACGCCCCCACACCTGTTACACGCGCACACGTGACCCGCGCGCTCACGTGACCCGCACACGTGTTGCACACACCCCCCTCACCTGTTACGCGCGCACACGTGACCCGCCCCGCGCACGTGACACCCCCCCCCCCCCCGTCCCGACCGTTGCCCCCGCCCCCCGCGCTCCCGCCTCCCGCGCGGCCAATCAGGAGCCTGTTACCAGGCAGATTTCGGCTCCCGCGCCGCCCCGCCCCCCGCATCCGGGCCGCGCGGCCAATCGCATTAAAGGAGCGGCGCGTATCCGGGCAGACCAGCGGCGCGGCGGCCAATCAGAAAAAAGCGGTCGGCGGGCTGCCGGGGCCGCCCCGCTTCCCGCGCAGCACTTTCGGTTCGCGGGGCGCGGGAGCGGCACGTGGCGGGACCCCCCGCACCGGACGGGTCAGGTGGGTGCGGGGCCGGGGCGGGGGGACCCCCCGGGGCCACTCAACCCCCCCCGACCGGGACCGGGGGGGGCTGCGCAGTCACGGAGCCCCCGCAACCCCCGTCCCGCCGGGACCGGCCCGGAGGGTGACCCCGGGTCTGGGAGCCGCTGGGCACGGGGACCTCTGCCCTCCTGGTGTCCCGTGTCCCTGGGGGTCTCTGTGTCCCTCCTGGTGTCCCGTGTCCCCGGGGGTCTCTGTGTCCCTCCTGGTGTCCCGTGTCCCCGGGGGTCTCTGTGTCCCTCCTGGTGTCCCGTGTCCCCACCGCCCCGGGACCTGCCCTCCTGGTGTCCCGTGTCCCCGGGGGTCTCTGTGTCCCTCCTGGTGTCCCGTGTCCCCGGGGGTCTCTGTGTCCCTCCTGGTGTCCCGTGTCCCCACCGCCCCGGGACCTGCCTTCCTGGTGTCCCGAGTCCCCGGGACCTGCCCTCCTGATGTCCCGTGTCCCATCTCCCTGGGGGTCTCTGTGTCCCTCCTGCTGTCCCCGTGTCCCTTGGGATCTCTGTCCCTCCTGGTGTCCCGTGTCCCTGTGCCCCTGGGGGTCTCTGTGTCCCTCCTGCTGTCCCTTGTCCCCGTGTCCCTGGGGGGGACGTTTCCTCCTACAGTGCCATCCCCATGTCCCCATGTCCTCATGTCCCCATGTCCCCGTGTCCCCGTGCCATCCTACACTCCCAGGGACCCTCCCAGTGCCCCCCAACACCCCTGACCCCTGCCAGGAACGGGGTCACTCAGCTGGAGATGCCCCTCCTGGTGTCCCATGACCCCGTGCCCCTGTGGGGACGTTCCCTCCTGCAGTGCCATGACCATGTCCCCATGTCCTCATGTCCCCATGTCCCCGTGTCCCCATGTCCCCATGTCCCACATCCCCAGGGACCCTCCCAGTGCCCCCCAACACCCCTGACCCCTGCCAGGAACGGGGTCACTCATCCAGAGATGCCCCTCCTGGGGGGCACCGTCCCCACACCCATTCCCTGCCCGTAAAAAGGGGTTTTTACTCCCTTTTTTTAAGCTGAATTTTGGCTTTTTCTCCCTCCCCAGAGCCCCCCCAAGCCATGGGTGACCCCGAGCTGGGTGCCCGCCCCGCCAGGAAGGGCCCCCTGTCCCCCCGGGGCGGTGCCAGCGAGTCGAGCACGTTGCTGCAGGAGCTCCGTGGCACCATCTCGTAAGGGCAGCCCCCAATTCGGGGGGTTTGTGGGGTTCAGTCATTTACAGCCCCAAATTCAGGGGGATTTAATGGGGTTCAGTCATTTGCAGCCCCAAATCCGGGGGGGTTTAATGGGGTTCAGTCATTTACAGCCTCAAATCAGGGGGGATTTAATGGGGTTCAGTCATTTGCACCCCAAATCCGGGGGGGATTTAATGGGGTTCAGTCATTTGCAGCCCTAAATTGGGGGGAATTTGATGGGGTTCAGTCATTTACAGCCCCAAACTGGGGGAATTTAATGGGGTTCAGTCCTTTGGAATTTAATGGGGTTCAGTCATTTGCAGCCCCAAATTGGGGGGGGATTTAATGGGGTTCAGTCATTTGGAATTTAATGGGGTTCAGTCCTTTGCAGCCCCAAATTCGGGGCTGAGCTGGGCAGGGTGTGAGGGATGAGCCCAGGGGGCTCTTTGGGGTCTCCCTGCCCTGCTCTGACACCCCCTCTTGTCTCTGTCCCCCCCCAGCAAATCCGTGCAGAGCAAGGTGGACTCCATCCTGGTGAGTGCTTCCCGGGAATTCCCGGGAATCTCCACCTCTCCTGGCTTCGACTCAGCCCCATCCCATTTCCCACCGGGACTTTGGGATGAGCCCCCCCAAAAAACCCCCCAACTCCCCCTGCCAGGAGGGGGAAAAAAACCCCCCCGACACCCCTCCCAGCCCTTCCCGGCTGGGAACATTCCCGGAATTCCTGTGGATCTTTGACCTCTCCCTGTCTCCCTCCCCTGGACCCTTTCCCACCCCAGCAAGACGTGCAGAAGTTCTCGGACAGCGACAAACTCTACCTGTACCTGCAGCTGCCCTCGGGGCCCAGCCTGGGCGAGAAGAGGTGGGTCTGGGTTGTCCCGGAAAGTTGGGAATGCCGGGATGGGGGTGGGATGGGGACGGGCCCCTTTCTGAGTCCTCGGGGAGCGGAGATTCCTTCATTTCGGGGTGTCACGAGAAACCTCCTGCCCTGGTTCGGTGACAGTCCCGGCGTCTCCTGCTCCTGCTCCTGCTCCTGCCCTGTCCCAGGGCTGCTCCTCCCCTCGTCTGGAGTCCTTTGGGGTGGTTCTGTGGGTCCTACAAGGTTTGCTGACCCTAAACTCTGCAGGTCCTACAAGGTTTGCTGACCCTAATGATGAACTCTGCAGGTCCTACAAGGTTTGCTGACCCTAATAATAAACTCTGCAGGTCCTACAAGGTTTGCTGACCCTAATAATGAATTCTGTGGGTCCTACAAGGTTTGCTGACTCTAAACTCTGTAGGTCCTACAAGGTTTGCTGACTCTAATGATGAACTCTGTAGGTCCTACAAGGTTTGCTGACCCTAATGATGAACTCTGCAGGTCCTACAAGGTTTGCTGACCCTAATGATGAACTCTGCAGGTCCTACAAGGTTGATGAACTCTGTAGGTCCTACAAGGTTGATGGTGAACTCTGTAGGTCCTGTATGGTTGATGATGAGCTCTGTAGGTCCTGTATGGTTGATGGTGAACTCTGTAGGTCCTACAAGGTTTGCTGACCCTAATGATGAACTCTGTAGGTCCTACAAGGTTTGCTGACCCTAATGATGAAGTCTGCAGGTCCTACAAGGTTGATGATGAGCTCTGTAGGTCCTACAAGGTTGATGATGAGCTCTGTAGGTCCTACAAGGTTGATGATGAGCTCTGTAGGTCCTACAAGGTTAATGATGAACTCTGCAGGCCCTACAACGTTTCCTACATGGTTTTAAGCCCCCCCATCATTGTGTGTGGCCACAGTGGCTCTGCCTTGTGCCTTTTCCCTCTTTCCTTACGTTTTTGTCCCCCCTGGAGCAGCAGCAGCAGCCTGGACCTGAGCGCCCTGGGCACGGCCGAGTACATGCACGCCTGCAACTGGATCAGGAACCACCTGGAGGAGCACACGGACACCTGCCTGCCCAAGCAGGACGTCTACGACGCCTACAAGTGAGCCCGGGGACGGGGACAGCAGGGCAGGGGGTCCCCATGGGCAGGGACACATGGACAGAGGGTCCCCAGGGACGGGGACAGCAGGGCAGGGGGTCCCCAGGGACAGCAGGGCAGGGGGTCCCCGGGGATGGGGACAGCAGGGCAGGGGGTCCCCAGGGACGGGGACAGCAGGGCAGGGGGTCCCCAGGGACGGGGAGACCAGGACAGGGGGTCCCCAGGGACGGGGACAGCAGGGCAGGGGGTCCCCAGGGACGGGGAGACCAGGACAGGGGGTCCCCAGGGACGGGGACAGCAGGGCAGGGGGTCCCCAGGGACAGGGACAGCAGGGCAGGGGGTCCCCAGGGACGGGGACACATGGACAGAGGGTCCCCATGGACGGGGACAGTAGGGCAGGGGGTCCCCATGGGCAGGGACACATGGACAGAGGGTCCCCAGGGACAGGGACAGCAGGGCAGGGGGTCCCCAGGGACAGGGACACATGGACAGAGGGTCCCCAGGGACGGGGACACATGGACAGAGGGTCCCCAGGGGCAGGGACACATGGACAGAGGGTTCCCAGGGACAGGGACAGCAGGGCAGGGGGTCCCCAGGGACAGCAGGGCAGGGGGTCCCCAGGGATGGGGACAGCAGGGCAGGGGGTCCCCAGGGACGGGGAGACCAGGACAGGGGGTCCCCAGGGACGGGGACAGCAGGGCAGAGGGTCCCCAGGGATGGGGACAGCAGGGCAGGGGGTCCCCAGGGACGGGGACAGCAGGGCAGGGGGTCCCCAGGGACGGGGACAGCAGGGCAGGGGGTCCCCAGGGACGGGGAGACCAGGACAGGGGGTCCTCATGGATGTGGAACATCAGGACAGGGTGTCCCCATGGACACCAGGAGAGTGTGTCCCCACGGACAGGGACACCAGGACAATGCATTTAGGGACACCAGGACAGTGTCCCCAGGGATGTGAGACACCAGGAGAGTGTGTCCCCATGGACAGGGACACATGGACAGGGACACCAGGACACTCTGTCCCCATGGACAGGGACACCATTCCCAGTACAGGGACACCATTCCCAGTACAGTGACACCATTCCCAGTACAGGGACACCATTCCCAGGGCAGGGACGGGTCAGGAATTCCTTCCTGGCCGGGAAGAGCCCCCCATTGTCACCCCCCTTCTCCCCCCCAGGAGATACTGCGACAACCTGGGCTCCCGCCCCCTCAGCACGGCCAATTTCGGGAAGATCATCCGGGAGATCTTCCCCAACATCAAGGCCCGGCGCCTGGGGGGCCGAGGACAGTCCAAATATCCTTCCCTGCCCCAGGAATTCCCAGCTTTTCCCGGATTTTTCCCCCCTCGTTTTGTAGTGTCGGGTCCCGGCGGGGTTAGGGGGGGGCTCTGGGGAGGTTTTGGGTGGTCCCTGAAGGTGTTCTGGGGGACATTCCCCTTTTTTGGGGGGGTTTTGGGGGATTTATTTGGAATTTTGGGGCGGTTGTGGGTCTGAGGGGCTCTGAGGGATTTTTTGGGGATTTTTTGGGGGGGTGTTTGGGGGATTTATTGGGAATTTTGGGGCGGGTTTGGGTGAGGTTTTGAGGGGAGGTTGGGAGGGTTTGGGGGGTCCTGGAGGGGGGATTGGGGGGAGAGAGGGGAGCTGGGAGGGTCCTGGGGGCCTGGGGGATTTTTTGGGGGGGTTTTGGGGATTTATTGGGAATTTTGGGGTCTTTTTGGGTGAGGTTTTGAGGGGAGGTTGGGAGGGTTTGGGGGCTCCCGGGGGGTGGATTGGGGAGGGTCCTGGGGGATTTTTTGGGTTTTTTTTGCGAGGGGGTTTTTTGGGGGGGATTTATTTGGAAATTTGGGGTGGTTTTGGGTCTGGGGGGGCTCCTGGGTGTCCTGGGAGGGTTTTTTTTTGGGCAGGAGAAGCCCTTGACGGTGCCCAACGTACTGTTACGGGGGGATCAGGAGGAAGACCGTGGTCAGCCTTCCTCCCCTGCCCAGCCTGGACCTCAAAGTCACCGAGACTGTAAGTTCTGGGGGTTTTTGGGGGGAGTTCTGCAGGATTTGGGGGGTCCTGGGGAGGGATTTGAGGTCTGGGAGGGGAGGGAAGGGCAGGATTTGGGGGGTCCTGGGGGAGGAAGGAGGCAGGTTCTGCTCTGTCCTGGGAACCTCCTGTCCCCACCTGGGGGGGGGTCCTGCCCTCTGCCCTGGAGGTCTTGCCTTGTACCCTGGGGGGGTCCCATCTGTGCCTTGGGGGTCTTGCCCTGTGTCCTGGGGGTCCTACTCTGTGCTCTGGGGGTCCTGAGGGGTCCTGGGGGGTCCTACCCTCTGCCCTGGGGGTCCTGCCCTGTGCCCTGGGGGTCCTGGGGGGCCCTGCCCTCTGCTCTGGGGATCCTGCCGTGTGGTCTGGGGGTCCTGGGCAGTCCTACGCTGTGCTCTGGGGGTCCTACCCTGTACCTGGGGGGTCCTGCCCTCTGCTCTGGGGGTCCTGCCGTGTGGTCTGGGGGTCCTACCCTCCACCCTGGGGATCTTCCTGTGCCCTGGGGGTCCTGCCCTTCACTCTGGGGGTCTGGGGGATCTCCTGGCTGCTCCCATGGGATCTCCCATCCCATCCCACCTCAGCAATCAGAGCTGGTGCAGTCCTAGCCCAGCCAGGTGATGGAGGCTGCCCCTGCCCTGGGGGTCCTGCCCTGCACCCTGGGGGTCCTGGGGGTCTCCTGGCTGCTCCCATGGGATCTCCCATCCCATCCCATCCCATCCCCTCCTGTGCCCCCACAGCAGTCAGAGCTGGCAGAGCTGGTGCAGTCCTACCCCAGCGAGGTGATGGAGGCAGCCCCTGCCCTGGGGGTCCTGCCCTTCACTCTGGGGGTCCCCTGGCTGCTCCTGGGGGGTCTCCCATCCTATTCCATCCCCCCACAGCAGTCAGAGCTGGCAGAGCTGGTGCAGTCCTACCCCAGCGAGGTGATGGAGGCCGCCTGTGCCCTGGGGGTCCTGCCCTGTGCCCTGGGGGTCTCCTGGCTGCTCCCTTGGGATCTCCCATCCCATCCCATCCCCTCCTGTGCCCCCACAGCAGTCAGAGCTGGCAGAACTGGTGCAGTCCTACCCCAGCGAGGTGATGGAGGCAGCCCCTGCCCTGGGGGTCCTGCCTCATGCCCTGGGGGTCCTGGGGGTCTCCTGGCCAATGCCAGGGATTCTCCCATCCTATTCCATCCCCCCACAGCAGTCAGAGCTGGCAGAGCTGGTGCAGTCCTACCCCAGCGAGGTGATGGAGGCCGCCTGTGCCCTGACCTGCGACTGGGCCGAGAAGATCCTCAAACGCTCCTTCAACAACATCGTGGAGGTGGCTCAGTTCCTGCTGCAGCAGCACATCATCAGCTCCCGCTCGGCCCACGCGGACCTGGTCATGGCCATGGTGGTCTCAGGTGGGTGGGGGACCAGCCCTGGGCCCCGTGGTGGTCTCAGGTGGATGGGGGGGGACCAGCCCTGGGTCCTGTGGTGGTCTCAGGTGGGTTCAAGGGCAGCCCTGGGTCCTGTGGTGGTCTCAGATGGATGGGGAGGGACCAGCCCTGGGCCCCATGGTGGTCTCAGGTGGGTTCAAGGGCAGCCCTGGGTCCTGTGGTGGTCTCAGATGGATGGGGAGGGACCAGCCCTGGGCCCCGTGGTGGTCTCAGGTGGGTGAGGGACCAGCCCAGGAGTGTCCCCTCAGTCCCAAACCAGGGGGTCCTCCCTGTCCCAAACTGGGGAGCCCCAGGGTTTATACCTGTGTCCCACCCCCCGTCCCAAACCAGGGGGCAACCCAGGAGTGTGTCCCCTCAATCCCAAACTGAGGGGGGACCAAACCATGGGGGGGTCCAGGGGGTGAGGGGGACCCAGGGGTGTGTCCCCCCTGTCCCAAACCATGGGGGGGTCCAGGGGGTGAGGGGGGACCCAGGGGTGTGTCCCCCCTGTCCCAAACCATGGGGTGGTCCAGGGGGTGAGGGGGACCCAGGGGTGTGTCCCCTCAGTCCCAAACTATGGGTGGTCCAGTGGGTGCAGCCCCCCCCCATCCCAAACCCAGGGTCGGTCCTGGAGGTTCCTCCCCCTCATCCCCGGGGGTGTCCCACCTTTGTCACCCTCTGTACCCCCTCCCACCACAGAGAACACGGAGAAGACCCCCCTCCCCCTCCAAGAGAACCGCCCCCCCCCCGCCGCCAAGAAGAACGGGCTGGACCCCCCCGAGAGCCACGAGAGGACCCCAGAGCAGGTGAGAGACCCCCGAGAGAGCCGGGGGGGCACCCGGGGGGGCAGCCAGGACTCCCCCCCGCCCGGCTCTGACACCCCCTCCCCTTTCTGTGCCCCCCCCCAGAGCCGGGTGAGCACCTGGGTGGGCAGCCAGGACTCCCCCCCCTCCCCTTTCTGTGCCCCCAGAGCTGGGTGGGCAGCCAGGACTCCCCCCTCCCCTTTCTGTGCCCCCCCAGAGCCGGGGGGGCACCCGGGGGGGCAGCCAGGACTCCCCCCCTCCCCTTTCTGTGCCCCCCCGAGCCGAGTGGGCAACCAGATGGGCAGCCAGGACTGCCCCCCTCCCCTTTCTGTGCCCCCAGAGCCGGGTGGGCACAGCCGGGACCCCCTTACCCGGCTCTGACCCCCCCTTTTCTGTGCCCCCCCCAGAGGCCGGGGGGCAACCAGATGGAAGAAAGGACTCCCCCCTCCCTTTCTGTGCCCCCCCAGGCTGGGTGGGCACCCAGTATGGGCAGCACGGACTGCCCCCCTCCCCTTTCTGTGCCCCCCCAGAGCTGGGTGGGCACAGCCAGGCCTCCCCCCCTCCCCTTTCTGTGCCCCCCCAGAGCCGGGTGGGCACAGCCGGGACCCCCTTACCCGGCTCTGACCCCCCCTTTTCTGTCCCCCCAGAGCAAGAAGGAGCCCCCCCAGCCCTGCAGGCCCCCGCCCCCCAAGAAGAAGCCCCCGGAGCCCCCCCGGGCGAGCAGCAGCAGCAGCAGCAGCCCCCAGGTGAACGCCCTGGTCGCCCGCCTGCCCCTGCTGCTGCCCCGCATCCCCCCCCTCCCCGAGCGACCCCCCGCCCCCGGCACCACCCCCGGGCCCCCCCCCCCGGTGCTGGTGCCCCGGTTGGCCCCCCTGGGGGGCGGTGGGGTGGGCGGGGGGGGCACGGTGAAGGTGGCCCTGCCCCTGCCCGTGGGTGCCACCGTGGGTGCCCCCCCCGCGCTGCCCCTGGGGCTGAGCCCCCCCGGCGCCATCCCCGTGCTCAACGTGCTGCTGCCCGGGGTGGGGGTGCCCCCCCCGCACCCCCCCCCGGCCGCGGAGACCCCCGGGGGGGCCCCCGAGCAGAGGTCAAAGGGCACCAAGAGACCCCCGGAGCCCGGGGGGGGGGACGCGGCCCCGCACAAGAGGAGGAGGGGGAGGCCCCGAAAGAGGCCCGAGGAGGGGGGTGGGGGGTCCCCCGGGGCAGAGGGGGGGGCGTCGCCCCCCGGGGGGGGCTCTCCGGGTGGTGGCAGTGCCACTGTCCCCGGGGGGGGCTCTGGTGGAGGTGGCACTGCCACTGTCCCCGGGGGGGGCTCTCCTGGGGGAGGAGCTCCTGATGGTGGCACTGCCACTGTCCCCAAGGGAGGCTCAGCTGGTGGTGGCACTGCCACTGTCCCCGGGGGGGGCTCTGGTGGAGGTGGCACTGCCACTGTCCCCAGGGGGGGCTGTCCCGGGGGGGGCTCTGCTGGAAGGGGCTCTGCTGGAGGGGGCAGTGCCACCGTCCCTGTCAGTGGCAGTGCCACCGTCCCTGGGGACAGGCCGGTTGAGGGCAGTGCCACCATCCCTGTCAGGGACAGCTCTGTCACTGCCAGTGCCACTGTCCCTGTTGGGGACAGGCCAGCCAGTGCCAGTGCTGCCACCCTTGGGGACAGGCCACTCAGTGCCACCGTCCCTGTCAGGGACAGCTCTGTCACTGCCAGTGCCACCAGTCCTGTTGGGGACAGCTCTGTCACTGCCAGTGCCACTGTCCCTGCTGGGGACAGGCCGGTCAGTGGCAGTGCCACCATCCCTGTCAGGGACAGCCCAGTGAGTGGCAGTGCCACCATCCCTGTCAGGGACAGCCCTGCCAGTGGCAGTGCCACTGTCCCTGGGGGTGGCTCTGCCAGCAGTGACTCTCCCAGTGACAGTCCCACTGTCCCCACTGGGGACAGTTTGGGGAGGGGCAGTGCCACTGTCCCCGTGGAGGACAGGCCAGTCAAGGGCAGTGCCACCACCCCCAGTGGGGACAGCTCTGTCCCTGGCAGTGCCACCACCCCTGGTAGGGACAGCTCTGTCCCTGGCAGTGCCACCACCCCTGGTAGGGACAGCTCTGTCCCTGGCAGTGCCACCACCCCTGGTAGGGACAGCTCTGTCCCTGGCAGTGCCACCACCCCCAGTGGGGACAGCTCTGTCCCTGGCAGTGCCACCGTCCCTGGTGGTGGCTCTCCCAGCAGTGGCTCTCCTGGTGGGGACAGTCCAGGGAGGGGCAGTGCCACTGTCCCCGTGCAGGACAGGCCAGGCAGGGGCAGTGCCACCGTCCCTGGTGGCAGCTCTGCTGGAGGTGGCAGTGCCACCACCCCCCCCACTGGGGACAGGCCAGCCAGTGGCAGTGCCACCATCCCTGTTGGGGACAGGCCGGTGAGGGACAGTGCCACCATCCCCCGTGGTGGCTCTCCTGGAGGTGTCTCTCCCAGCAGTGGCAGTGCCACCCCCCCCACTGGGGACAGGCCAGGCAGTGACAGTGCCACCATCCCTGCCAGGGACAGCCCAGCTGGTGGCAATGCCACCATCCCTGCTGGGGACAGGCCAGCCAGTGGCAGTGCCACTGTCCCTGCCAGGGACAGCCCGTCCAGGGGCAGGGACACCCTCCCCACCAAGGACAGGCCGGGTGGTGGCAGTGGCACCGTCCCTGCCAGGGCCAGTGCAGCCAGTGGCACTGCCACCTGCCCCCCCAGTGCCACCACTCCTGTCAGGGACAGCACGTCCAGGGGCAGTGCCACCACCCCTGTTGCGGACAGACTGGTCAGTGGCAGTGCCACCACCCCCTCCAGGGACAGCACGTCCAGGGGCAGTGCCACCATCCCCAGTGGCAGTGCCACCATCCTTGCCAGGGACAGCACGTCCAGGGGCAGTGCCACCACCCCTGTTGGGGACAGGCTGGTCAGTGGCAGTGCCACCACTCCTGTCAAGGACAGCACATCCAGGGGCAGTGCCACCACCCCTGTCGGGGACAGTCGAGCCAGGGGCAGTGCCATCAGCCCTGCTGGGGACAGGCCAGTCAGAGACAGTGCCACCAGGGACAGGCCTGGCAGTGCCACTGTCCCCCCCAGAGAGAGCCCATCCAGGGGCAGTGCCACCATCCCCGTCAGGGACAGCACATCCAGGGGCAGTGCCACTGTCCCCCCCAGGGACACCCCTCCCAGGAGCAGATCCAGCACCCCCAGCAGGGACACCCAGTCCAGGGGCAGTGCCACCATCCCCAGGGGCAGTGCCACCGTCCCTGTTGGGGACAGGCCAGTCAGGGACGGTGCCACCAGGGACAGGCCAGGCAGTGCCACCATCCCCCCCAGGGACATCCCATCCAGGGGCAGATCCAGCACCCCCAGCAGGGACAGCACATCCAGGGGCAGTGCCACTGTGCCCCCCAGGGACAGCACACCCAGGGGCAGTGCCACCACCCCCAGCAGGGACACCCTGTCCAGGGACAGAGCCACTGTCTCCTCCAGGGACACCCAGTCCAGGGGCAGTGCCACCATCCCCACTGGGGACAGGCCAGTCAGGGACGGTGCCACCAGGGACAGGCCAGGCAGTGCCACCGTCCCCCCCAGGGACACCCTGCCCAGGAGCAGATCCAGCACCCCCAGCAGGGACAGGCCATCTGAGGGCAGTGCCACTGTCCCCCCCAGGGCTGGCCCAGCCAGGGGCAGTGCCACCCTGTCCCCCAGGGACAGCACATCCACGGGCAGTGGCACTGTCCCCTCCAGGGACAGCCCAGCCAGGGGCAGTGGCACTGTCCCCTCCAGGGACAGCCCAGCCAGGGGCAGTGCCACCCTGTCCCCCAGGGACAGCCCATCCAGAGGCAGTGCCACCAGCCCAGTGGGGAACAAGCTGGCCAGTGGCAGTGCCACCATCCCCCCCAGGGACACCTCACCCAGGGGCAGTGGCACTGTGCCCCCCAGGGACAGCCCAGCCAGGGGTAGTGCCACCCTGTCCCCCAGGGACAGCACATCCAGGGGCAGTGCCACCATCCCCTCCAGGGACACCTCACCCAGGGGCAGTGCCACTGTCCCCTCCAGGGACACCCCGCCCAGGAGCAGGTCCAGCACCCCCAGCAGGGACACCCAGTCCAGGGGCAGTGCCACCCCCCCCAGCAGGGACACCTCACCCAGGGGCAGTGTCACCCTCCCCTCCAGGGGCAGCCCTGCTGGTGGCAGTGGCACTGTCCCTGTCAGGGACAGGCCGGTCAGTGGCAGTGCCACCATCCCCTGCAGGGACAGTCCAACCAGGGGCAGGGACACCCCCCCTGTCAGGGACACCCCCTCCAGGGTTAATGCCACCACCCCCACCAGGGACACCCCACCCAGGGTTAATGCCACCACCCCCACCAGGGACAGTCGAGCTGGTGGCAGTGGCACCATCTCCCCCAGGGACAGCCCATCCAGGGGCAGTGCCACCATCCCTGTCAGGGACAGCCCATCCAGGGGCAGTGCCACCATTCCCTCTGGGGACAGCCCCGCTGGTGGCAGTGGCACCATCCCCATCAGGTACAGCCCAGGGAGTGGCAGTGCCACCATCCCCAGTGGCAGTGCCACTGTGCCCGTCAGGGACACCCCATCCAGGGGCAGTGGCACTGTCCCTGTCAGGGACACCCCATCGAGGGGCAGTGCCACCATTCCTGTCAGGGACAGCCCCGCCGGTGGCAGTGCCACCGTGCCCGTCAGGGACACCCCATCGAGGGGCAGTGGCACCATCACCTCTGGGGACAGCCCTGCTGGTGGCAGTGCCACCGTGCCCGTCAGGGACACCCCATCCAGGGGCAGTGGCACCGTCCCTGTCAGGGACAGCCCCGCCGGTGGCAGTGCCACCATCCCCATCAGGGACACCCCATGGAAGGGCAGTGGCACCATCACCTCTGGGGACAGCCCCGCCGGTGGCAGTGCCACCGTGCCCGTCAGGGATGTCCCCTCCCGGCCCGTGCAGCCCGCCCGTGTCAGCGTCATCAGGGACGGCCGGACCCGGGGCCGGGTGGCACCGCCCGTGGACCCCCTGGCACTGCAGGGCCTCGGCAGGGCCGGGACCCCGTTGGGGGGCACCGGGGACTGGGGGGACCCCCGGGGACACCCCCACGGCGCACCCCGGGACGGACAGACGGGCACGGGCACGGGTCCTGCTGCCACCGCTGCACAACATCTGGATGTGTCCCCTCACCCCCCCCGACCGCACCAGTAAAAACCAGTCACTCCGCCCCTCTGTCCAGTTCTGTGGCCCGGGGAAGGGGACACGGGGAGTTGGGGGGGGACACGGAGGGTGGGAGGGGGACATGGACAGTGGGAGGGTACACGGGGAGTTTGGGGGGACATGGGGGGTGAGGAGGGGACACGGGGAGTAGGGAGGGGACACGGAGGGTTTCGGGGGGACATGGACAGTGGGAGGGGACACGGGGAGTGGGGAAGGGGACATGGACAGTGGGAGGGGACACGGGGAGTGGCGCTGTGACGACAGAGACGATTTTCCGCCGAAAAACGCCGGCTTTTGCCAACGGCGGAACAAGCGAGGCCACGCCCCCCCGCCGGGGTCACGCCCCTCGACGCTCCAATGCCCCGCCCCTTGGTACAGCGTTGCCACGCCCCCTCCATCGCCGTGTGAGGCGAGACCGCGCCCCTTGTCACCTTCGTCATCGGACCACGCCCCCTCGGCGAACCGAGACCACGCCCCTGACCACACAGACCACGCCCTCCTCCGCCCCCTGCCCCGCTCACATCCCCATCTCCAGCCAATGTTCCGCGGCGGAGACCAGACCACGCCCCCCCTCCGCGCTCAGGCCACGCCCCCCCTCCCCCGGGCGGCCCCGCCGGTGCGGCAGGGGGCGCTGTGCGCGCGGCCCCCTCAGCGCCGTGAGGCGGCTCCGGGCCGGGCCTGGGGAGGCTCCGAGAGCGGCCCCGCTCCGGCCCCGCTCCGGCCCCGCTCCGGCCCCGCTCCGCTCCCACAACCCCTCCGACCCCTCCAGCCACCCCCCCCCGCCCCGAGGTGAGCCCGGCCCCGCCGCCGCCCCCGCCTCGCTCCGCCCCGGTCCCCCCCCACACAGCGAGGCCTTCCCTCCTTACCCCCCCCCCGGCCTTCCTCATCGGCCTCTTACTCCTCCTCCTCCTCCTCCGCCGAGCGCTTCGTGGCGCAGGGAAATAACGAAATCGCCTCCTCCGCTCTTTTTTTTTTTTTTTGTTGTTGTTTGTGTTTGTTTGTTTGTTTGTTCCGCGGGATTTTTTTTTTTTTGTACATCTATATATATTTTTATTTTTTTTTTTCCGCCGTGGCCCAGGATGAGCCGCCCCGAGCGCCGGCCCGTGTGTGGCGACCCCCGAGCGGAGCCGCGCGGGATGGGACCGCTGCAGGTACCGCCATCCCCGACCCCGCCATCCCCGACCCCGCCGTCCCCGACCCCGCCATCCCTTCCCCTTCCCCGGGGATGGAGGGGGGGATAAAAACAACCCCCGGGAAGTGTCGCAATGACCCTTTTCCAGCCCCTTTTCCGCGCTGTCCCTCCTGATTTTAGGGCCTTTCCCCCTCCCCGAGCTTTGGGGTCGCCCCGAACCCCGACCTAAAAAGCCCTAAAGGTGTGTTTTTACCCCCTCCCTTCCTCGGGGATGTTTTTTCCCCCCCTCTCCCTTAAAACTTCGCCTGAGAGTTGTTGGGAACTTTAACGAGGAGAAATAATCGCGTTGAATCCCCTCCCTTTTGGTTTCTTTTCGCTTCCCAAAGGGGGAGGAACCGGGCACAGGCCTGGAGTGGGGGGGGAAATGCTGCTTTTCCAGCTCTTTTCCCAGAGCAGAGGGTTTGGATTCCCCTTGGGAACTTCGTCGTTCTCCGTGTGAACAGGTCGTTCCTGGGCTCATGTGGATTCTGAGGGATCAGGGTCAGCCCTGGAGTCATTCCTGGACTCCTGTGGATCCTGAGGGATCAGGGTGAGCCCTGGAGTCATTCCTGGACTCCTGTGGATCAGCCCTGGAGTCATTCCTGGACTCCTGTGGATCCCCAGGGATCAGGGTGAGCCCTGGAGTCATTCCTGGAGTCATTCCTGGACTCCTGTGGATCCCCAGGGATCAGCCCTGGAGTCATTCCTGGACTCCTGTGGATCCCCAGGGATCAGAGTCAGCCCTGGAGTTATTCTTGGACCCCTGTGGATCCCCAGGGATCAGGGTCAGCCCTGGAGTCATTCCTGGACTCCTGTGGATCCTGAGGGATCAGGGTGAGCCCTGGAGTCATTCCTGGAGTCATTCCTGGACTCCTGTGGATCCCCAGGGATCAGGGTCATTCCTGGAGTCATTCCTGGAGTCATTCCTGGACTCCTGTGGATCCTGAGGGATCAGGGTCATTCCTGGAGTCATTCCTGGACTCCTGTGGATCCCCAGGGATCAGGGTCATTCCTGGAGTCATTCCTGGAGTCATTCCTGGAGTCATTCCTGGACTCCTGTGGATCCCCAGGGATCAGGATCAGCCCTGGAGTCATTCCTGGAGTCATTCCTGGACTCCTGTGGATCCCCAGGGATCAGCCCTGGAGTCATTCCTGGAGTCATTCCTCCCAGCTTGTTTCCAGCCAGGCTTTGGAGAAGCACCTGGAAAACAGGGAATTTGCCTGAATCAAGCAGGTGTGGGAATGTGGCACCTTGGGATCCACAGGAGGAAGAGGAGGAGGAGAATTCCCAGGCTGGAATGCTCCAGGGGTTTGGAATGCTTGGGAAGCTGGCGTGGAAGGGTTGGCTCAGGGATCAGAATCCAGCCCCAGGAAGAGGGAAAAGGCTGGATGTGTCTGTGGGTGGGATTTGGGAAGGGCTTCCTTGGCCAATCCACCCCTTTTCCAAGGGGCTGGGACACTCCTCCCTCTCTCTGGGAGGTGGGAGAAGCTTTGAGGATTTTTTTTTTTTTAAAACCTCTTTTCATTTCTATGTAAATCCCTGGATTTGCCTCCTTCCCACGTGGAGGAGGAAGGAATGAAGGAAGTGCTGGGAATGCCAGGCTGGAGCAGCTCATTCATTATTAAAACAACCAATCATTTATTCACAATTATTAAAATTATTAAGAGTTGCTGTGGACATTCAGGATTAGGGAATTAGGGATGTCTCCCCTTGGCCTTGGAATTCCTCATTCTCCTCCTGCATTTCTTGCAACGTGGCTTGTCTTTTATCCCAAGAATGTTTTATCCCAAGAATGTTTTATCCCAAGAATGTTTTATCCCAAGAATATTTTACCCCCATTCTGTTTTATCTCAATCCATCTCATCCATCCCATCCCATCCCATCCCATCCTCTTCATCCCATCCTGTCCCACCCATCAATTCAATAACAATTATTCCATAAAAATGAGAATTATTCCATAAAAATGAGAATTATTCCATAATAACAACTCCATAATAATAATTCAACAATAATAATAACATGAATTCCATAATAATAACAATAATTCCATAAAAATGAGAACAATTCCAAAATAACAATTGCATAATAATAATAGTAATAATAGTAATAATAATAATAATATGAATTCCATAATAATAATAATAACAATAATAATAATAATATCAATTCCATAATAGCAACAATAATTCCTTTTTGGCTTCCTGGGTGGGTTTGGTCGTCATGGCAACGGGGAGGTTTGTGCCCAGGGATGTTCCCAGTTCTCTCTCCGAGCTTTGGGAGGGGGTTGGAAGACCTGGAAGATCCAGGATTTGGGTCTTCATCCCAACACAGATCCCAGTCCCTGCTCCTTGACTTCATCCCTTCTCCAAAGGTTCTTCCAGGAGATTCCACCAAACCTCCCCTTCATCCCAGCACAGATCCCAGTCCCTGCTCCTTGACTTCATCCCTTTCCAAAGGCTCTTCCAGGAGATTCCACCAAACCTCCCCTTCATCCCAGCCCAGATCCCAGTCCCTGCTCTGCCACCTCATCCCTTTCCAAAGGCTTTTCCAGGAGATTCCACCAAACCTCCCCTTCATCCCAGCACAGATCCCAGTCCCTGCTCCTCGACTTCATCCCTTCTCCAAAGGCTCTTCCAGGAGGTCCCACCAAACCTCCCCTTCATCCCAACATGGATCCCAGTCCCTGCTCCACAACTTCATCCCTTCTCCAAAGGTTCTTCCAGGAGATTCCACCAAACCTCCCCTTCAGGCCCATCCCAACACAACTTCATCCCTTCTCCAAAGGTTCTTCCAGGAGGTCCCACCAAACCTCCCCTTCATCCCAACACAGATCCTGGTCCCTGCTCCTCGACTTCATCCCTTCTCCAAAGGTTCTTCCAGGAGGTCCCACCAAAGCTCCCCTTCCCTTGGGGTCCATCCCAGCCCAGATCCCGGTCCCTGCTCCTTGACTTCATCCCTTCTCCAAAGGCTCTTCCAGGAGGTCCCACCAAAGCTCCCCTTCCCTTGGGGTCCATCCCAGCCCAGATCCCGGTCCCTGCTCCAGGATTTCATCCCGTTTCCCCCCGTTCTCCCCCCAGCTCTGAGCCGTCCCGCCCCGCCGCCGCTATGGGAGACTCGGGCGCGGATCCCGATCCCCGCCGCGGGCCCGGCCCGGATCCGGCGCCCCAAGGGAACAACGGGGGGACGTCCCTGAGCGTCATCTCGGAGGGCGTGGGCGAGCTGGCCCTCATCGACCCCGAGGTGGCCCAGAAGGCCTGCGAGGAGGTGCTGGAGAAGGTGAAGCTGCTGCACGGGGCCGTCCCCAACGGGGACGCCGGCGAGGGCTGCGAGATCCGCTGCCTGGACGAGCCCCGGCTCCGCGAGGAGGACGAGGAGGGCGCGGCCAACACGGTGAAGACGGCGCGGCGGCGGCAGAAGAACAACTCGGCCAAGCAGTCGTGGCTCCTGCGGCTCTTCGAGTCGAAGCTCTTCGACATCTCCATGGCCATCTCCTACCTGTACAACTCCAAGGAGCCCGGCGTGCAGGCCTACATCGGCAACCGGCTCTTCTGCTTCCGCCACGAGGACGTGGACTTCTACCTCCCGCAGCTGCTCAACATGTACATCCACATGGACGAGGACGTGGGCGACGCCATCAAGCCCTACATCGTCCACCGCTGCCGCCAGAGCGTCGACTTCTCGCTGCAGTGCGCGCTGCTGCTGGGGGCCCTCTCCTCCGACATGCACATCTCCACCCAGCGCCACTCCCGCGGCACCAAGCTGCGCCGCCTCATCCTCTCCGACGAGCTCAAGCCCAGCTCGGCCCAGGGGCAGCAGCGGCGCCGGGAGCTGCCTCCTTCCTCCTCCTCCTCCTCCTCCTCCTCCTCGGCGGCGGTGGGGGCACCGGGGATGGGCCAGGATGGCACAACGGGGCTGTCGCCCTCCAAGAGGACTCACCAGAGGTCCAAGTCGGACGCCACGGCCTCCATCAGCCTGAGCAGCAACCTGAAACGCACGGCCAGCAACCCCAAGGTGGAGAGCGACGAGGAGGTGAGGCCGGGGGGGTGCAGGGCTGAGTCTGGGGGGGTGCAGGGCTGAGTCTGGGGGGGTGCAGGGCTGAGTCTGGGGGAGGGTGTAGGGCTGAGTCTGGGGGGGCTGCAAGGCTCAGCCTGGGATGACATGCAGAGCTCAGCCTGGGGAGAGATGCAGGGCTCAGCCTGGAGAGGGATGCAGGGCTCAGCCTGGAGAGGGATGCAGGGCTCAGTCTGGGGGAGTGTAGGGCTGAGTCTGGGGGGGTGTAGGGCTGAGTTTGGGGGAGGGTGTAGGGCTGAGAACAGGGGGGTACAGGGCTGAGCTTGGGGGCCTACAAGGCTCAGCCTGGGATGACATGCAGAGCTCAGCCTGGAGAGGGATGGAGGGCTCAGTCTGGGGGGGTGTAGGGCTCAGTCTGGGGGTCTGGAGGGGTGAGTCTCAGGAGGATGTAGGGCTGAGAACAGGGGGGTGTAGGGCTGAGTCTGGGGGGGTGCAGACTTTTCCCCTTCCTAACACCTTTCTCCCTTCCCTATTCCCTTTTTCCCCCTAAACCTTTCATCCTTCCTTCCCTATCCCCTTTTTTCCTTCCCTATCCCCTTTTTTCCCTTCCCTATCCCCCTTTTTCCTTCCCCAACCCCTTTTCCCTCCTCCAACCCCTTTTTCCCTTCCCTATCCCCTTTTTCCTCCTAAACCTTCAATCCTCCCTTCCCTATCCCCCTTTTCCCCCTCAACTTTCCATCCTTCCTCCCCCAACTCCTTTTTTTCCTTCCCCAACCCCTTTTCCCCTCCCCTGCCCCGTCCCCCCCCTCCCATTCCCGTTTTTCCAGCCGGCCCGCCTGGCCCCGGAGAGGGAGTTCATCCAGTCCCTGATTTCCATCGGGAAGCGTTTGGCCACCCTGCCCACCAAGGAGCAGAAAACCCAGCGTTTGGTGTCGGAGCTGTCGCTGCTCAACCACAAACTGCCCGCCCGGGCCTGGCTGCCCACGGCCGGCTTCGAGCACCACGTGGTCAGGGTGCCCCACTCCCAGGCCGTGGTGCTCAACTCCAAGGATAAGGTGGGAATGGGAATGGGGATGGAGGGTGGGAGGGTGCCCCATTCCCAGGCCGTGGTGCTCAACTCCAAGGATAAGGTGGGAATGGGAGTGGGAATGGGGATGGAAAGGCAGGAGGGTGCCCAGGGTGCCCCATTCCCAGGCCGTGGTGCTCAACTCCAAGGATAAGGTGGGAATGGGAGTGGGAATGGGAGCAGGGATGGAAAGGTGGGAGGGTGCCCAGGGTGCCCCATTCCCAGGCTGTGGTGCTCAACTCCAAGGATAAGGTGGGAATGGGAATGGGAGCAGGGATGGAAAGGTGGGAGGATGGTCAGGGGTGCCTGGGGTTGGCTTGGGGCTCCTGGGGTTGGGATGTTTTGGGAGAGGGGTGGGGGGAGTCACTTCCAGGATTGGGAATGATAGGAGAGGTTTGGGGGAGTCATTTCCAGGATTGGGAGCGATGGGAGAGACCCAGAGATGGCACTTCCAGGACTGGGAATGATGGGAGAGGTCTGAGGGAGTCACTGCCAGGATTGGGAGTGATGGGAGAGACCCGGAAGTGTTGCTTCCAGGACTGGGAATGATGGGAGAGGTGTGGGGGGGTCACTACCAGGACTGGGAATGGTGGGAGAGGCCTGGAGGTGTCACAGCCGGAACTGGGAATGAGACCTGGAGGTGACACTTCCAGGAATGATGGGAGAGGTCTGGGGGGGGCACTCCCAGGATTGGGAATGATAGGAGAGGTCTGGGGGGGGTCACTTCCAGGACTGGGAGCACTGGGAGCTGCGTGAGGCATCCGGGATGGAGACAAACCCCCCCAAGATCCTCCATCCTCCCAATTCCCCCTCCGCAAGCTCCAGCCCTTCTCCCTGCTCCACATCCACCGAAAACCCTGGATTTTCCCCCTCCCAAGGATCCCAAACATCCCACCTCTCCCTCTGACCCCCCCTCTCCCCCCGTTCCTCCCTCAGGCTCCCTATTTAATCTACGTGGAAGTGCTTGAATGTGACAATTTCGACACAGCGAATGTTCCCGCCCGGATCCCGGAGAACCGGATCCGGAGCACCCGCTCGGCCGAGAACCTCCCCGAGGTGGGGATGAGCCACGAGCAGAGGACGGGCAGCTTCAGCACCGTCCCCAACTACGACAACGACGACGAGGCCTGGTCCGTGGACGACATCGGGGAGCTCCAGGTGGAGGTGCTGGAGGGAGCTCTGGGAATGGGGCCCTCGGGAAGAGGGGTGGGACAAAGGGAGTTGGAATTTGATGGGAAAAGGGGGTTTGGAGTGAGGGGAGTGGGTGGAGTGGAGTCTCCAGGGGGGTGGGAGGGTTGGTTGTGGGAGTGGGAGTGATGGGAGAGGCCTAGAGGTGGCGATTCCAGGAGTGGGAATGATAGGAGGGGTCTGGGAATGATAGGAGAGGTCTGGGGGGGTCACTCCCAGGATTGGGAGCAATGGGAGAGACCTGGAGGTGTCACTTCCAGGGTTAGAAGTGATGGGAAGTGATGGGGAGGTGGCACTTCCAGGACTGGGAATGATAGGAGAGTTTTGGGAATGATAGGAGAGGTCTGGGAGGGGTCACTCCCAGGATTGGGAGCATTGGGAGAGGCCTGGAGGTGTCACTTCCAGGGTTGGAAGTGATGGGGAGAAACCTGGAGGTGGCAATTCCAGGACTGGGAATGATAGGAGAGGTCTGAGGGGGGGGGTCACTTCCAGGATTGGGAACGATGGGAGAGACCTGGAGGTGTCACTTCCAGGACTAGGAATGATAGGAGAGGTCTGGGGGGGTCACTGCCAAGATTGGGAATGATAGGAGAGACCTGGAGGTGTCACTGGGAGAGACTGGGAGCACTGGGAGAGCCCTGGGGGTGTCTCTCCCTCCCCCTGCTGTGCCCACCCCTCTCCCACCCCCACGGATCCGGAGCCTCCCAAACTCCTTCCCTGCCCTTCCCGGAGCCTCCCCTCCTTCCCTGGGACGACATTCCCGGCTGGAATCGCGTCCCCAGCGTCCCCCTCCCCCCTCAATCCCGCTGTTCTCCAGCTTCCAGAGGTTCACACCAACAGCTGTGACAACATCTCCCAGTTTTCCGTGGACAGCATCACGAGCCAGGAGAGCCGGGAGCCCGTGTTCATCGCTGCCGGGGACATCCGGTGGGAATCTGGGATTGGGGATCGGGATCGGGGATTTGGGATTGGGATTTGGGATTGGGGTGGGCCGGAGGTGTCACCCTCATCGCCGCCGGGGACATCCGGTCGGGAATTCGGGATTTGGGATCGGGATCAGGGATTTGGGATTGGGGTGGGCCCTGCCTGTACTCCCAGGGGTGTCACCCTCATTCCTGCTGGGGATATCTGGTCAGGGAATTCGGGATTTGGGATTGGGATTTGGGATCAAACTTGGCCCTGCCTGCACTCCCAGGGGTGTCACCTTCATTCCCGCTGGGAACATCCGGTCAGGGAATTTGGGATTTGGGATTTGGGATTGGGATTGGGGGACTCTGGCTGCACTCCCAGGGGTGTCACCCTCATTCCCACCAGGGACATCCAGTCAGGGAATTTGGGATTTGGGATCAGGATTGAGGGGAAACTTGGCCCTGCCTGCACTCCCAGGGGTGTCACCCTCAATCCCTCTGGGAACATCCAGTCAGGGAGTTTGGGATTGGGATTTGGGATTGGGGTGGGTCCTGGCTGCACTCACAGAGGTGTCACCCTCATTCCTACTGGGCTCAGCCTTGGGAGCAGCTGGAATTGTCTCCCTGGACACCTTGGGAGCAGCTGGAATTGTCTCCCTGGACACAGGAGAACCTTGGGAGAAGCCGCCCCCTCTTCCAAAACCTGGGATAGGGGGGTCCTGCGCTGGGCTGGGGGGTGGAATTTGGGTGTCAGGGGATGCTCCCGGTCCCCAAATCCAAGGAATTGTGGCGTTCCCGCGTTGCAGGAGGCGGCTGTCGGAGCAGCTGGCGCACACCCCCACCTCCTTCCGCAGGGATCCCGAGGATCCGTCCGCCGTCGCCCTCAAGGAGCCCTGGCAGGAGAAAGTCAGGTGAGGAGGGGACTTTGGCCATCCCAGGAATCCCAGGGAGTCACCCAGGGAATTATCCACGGCCTTGGCTTCTGGCCCTGCCCGGGGCGGGATCAGAGCAGGGAGGGGGAAATTCCTGCTCCTGGGCGGGGCCTTTTCCAGGGATTTGTGGGGCAGCTCCGATGTCACCGGGGCTTGGCCTCTTCCCAAAAGAAGTTTGGCACTTCCAGAAGTGTCCAACCCCCTCACATTCCATGAAGGAAAGCGGGAAAGCCCCGGAGCTTCCCCCTCCCCATTCCCAACCCCTCTCCATTCCCACAGGATCCCCCCCATTCATTCCCAACCCCTCTCCATTCCCACAAAATCCCCCCCACCCATTCCCAACCCCTCTCCATTCCCACAGGATCCATTCCCACAGGATCCCATTCCCAGCCCCTCTCCATTCCCACAGGATCCCATTCCCACAGGATCCCATTCCCACAGGATCCCATTCCCAGCCCCTCTCCATTCCCACAGGATCCCATTCCCAGCCCCTCTCCATCCCCACAACCCCCGGCTGTGCCGGAGGTGCTCCAGGATTCAGGAATGGGATGAATTCCCTGCCCTTTGGAGGGCTGGGCGTGCCCTGAGATCCCAGATCAGGGATCCCCCCTCGTTCCCAACCTTCCCTTTTCCCTCTCCCCCGTTCCAGGAGGATCCGGGAAGGGTCTCCCTACGGACACCTCCCCTCCTGGAGGCTCCTCTCCGTCATCGTCAAGTGCGGCGACGACCTTCGCCAGGAGCTGCTGGCATTCCAGGTGCTCAAACAGCTCCAGGTGAGCCCGGGAACAGGGATGGGAGCACTGCCAGGACTGGGAGCACTGGGAGAGACCCGGGGGTGTCGCTTCCAGGACTTGGGAATGACAGGAGAGGTCTGGGAATGATAGGAGAGGTTGGGGGGGGTCACTTCCAGGTCTGGGAGCACTGAGAGAGACCAGGAGGTGGCACTTCCAGGACTGGGAATGACAGGAGAGGTCTGGGGGGGGGACATCCGGTCGGGGAATTTGGGATTTGGGACCCCCGGGATGCTGAGGAATCCCCGGGATCCCGAGAAATCCCCGGGATGCTGAGGAATCCCCGGGATCCTGAGGAACCCCTGGGATGCTGAGGAACCCCTGGGATCCCGAGGAATCCCCGGGATCCTGAGGAACCCCCGGGATCCCGAGGAACCCCTGGGATGCTGAGGAACCCCCGGGATCCTGAGGAATCCCCGGGATGCTGAGGAATCCCTGGGATGCTGAGGAATCCCCGGGATGCTGAGGAACCCCCGGGATCCCGAGAAATCCCCGGGATGCTGAGGACTCCCCGGGATCCCGAGAAATCCCCGGGATGCTGAGGAATCCCCGGGATCCTGAGGAACCCCTGGGATGCTGAGGAACCCCCGGGACCCTGAGGAATCCCTGGGATGTTGAGGACTCCTGGGATGCTGAGGAACCCCTGGGATCCCGAGGACTCCCAGGATCCCAAGGAATTCCCGGGATGCTGAGGAACCCCTGGGATGCTGAGGACTCCCGGCATCCCAAGGAATCCCCGGGATGCTGAGGAATCCCCAGGATCCTGAGGACTCCTGGGATGCTGAGGAACCCCTGGGATCCCGAGGACTCCCGGCATCCCAAGGAATCCCCGGGATGCTGAGGAACCCCGCTGTCCCCGCAGTCCATCTGGGAGCAGGAGCGGGTCCCGCTGTGGATCAAACCCTACAAGATCCTGGTGATCTCGGCCGACAGCGGGATGATCGAGCCCGTGGTCAACGCCGTGTCCATCCACCAGATCAAGAAGCAGTCCCTGCTCTCCCTGCTGGACTATTTCCTGCAGGAGCACGGGAATTACAACACCGAGTCCTTCCTGAGCGCCCAGAGGAACTTCGTGCAGAGCTGCGCCGGGTACTGCCTGGTCTGCTACCTGCTGCAGGTCAAGGACAGGTGGGAGAACCCCATTAATCCGATTTAGGGGGGATTTTGGAGGCTCTCTCGGGCCTCTGGGGCCTCGGGTTCGTGTCCAGAGGAAAAAATTCCCCTGTTTTACCCCCTCGGAAATTCCCTTTAACGGCGGATTTGGGGAAGGGAACCCACGGGAAAAGATCCCACAAAAGCTCACTTAATAGTAATTAATAGTTATTAATGATTTATAATTATTTAATTTAAATTTAATTCAATTTAACCCTTTAACAGCCAAGATTTTAAAGGCTCTCAGTCCTTTGGTGCCTCAGTTTTGTGTCCAGAGGAAAAAATTCCCATGTTTTCCCCCCCCGGAAATTCCCTTTAATTATTAATTAATAATTATTTATATAGTGGCATATTTAATTTAAGTTTAATCCAGTTTAGCCCCTCAACAAACAGCTTTTAGAGGCTCTCTCAGGCCTTTGGGGCCTCAGTTTCGTGTCCAGAGGAAAAAATTCCCGTGTTTTCCCCCCTCGGAAATTCCCTTTAACGGCGGATTTGGGGAAAGGAACCCACGGGAAAAGATCCCACAAAAGCATCTCAATAGTAATTAAGAATTATTAATTATTTATAATTATTTAATCCAGCTTAGCCCCTCAACAGCCAAGTTTTTGAAGGCTCTCAGTCCTTTGGTGTCTCAATTTTGTGTCCAGAGGAAAAAATTCCCCTGTTTTCCCCCCCCGGAAATTCCCCTTTAATGGTGGTTTTGGGGAAAGGAACCCACGGGAAAAGATCCCACAAAAGCATCTCACTGAATAGTAATTAATAATTATTAATTACTAATTATTTATAGTTATTTAATTTAAATTTAATCCAGTTTAGCCCCTCAACAAACAGCTTTTAGAGGCTCTCTCAGTTCTTTGGGGCCTTGGAAATTCCCTTTAATGGTGGTTTTGGGGAAAGGAACCCACAGGAAAAGATCCCACAAAAGCATCTCACTGAATAGTAATTAATAATTATTAATGATTTATAATTATTTAATTTAAATTTAATCCAATTTAACCCCTCAACAAACAGCTTTTAGAGGCTCTCTCGGGCCTTTGGGGCCTTGGAAATTCCCTTTAATGATGGTTTTGGGGAAAGGAACCCACAGGAACCCAAAGGAAAAGATCCCACAAAAGCATCTCAATAATGATTAATAATTAATAATTATTTATAGGTATTTAATTTAAATTTAATCCAGTTTAACCCCTCAACAAACAGCTTTTAAAGGCTCTCTCAGGCCTTTGGGGCCTCAGTTTTCCTCCCATGTTTTCCCCCCCAGGAGATTCCCTTTAATTATTTATTAATAATTATTTATAGTTATTTAATTGACATTTAATCCAGTTTAACCCCTCAACAAAACAGCTTTTAGAGGCTCTCTCGGGCCTTTGGGGCCTCGGGTTTGTGTCCAAGGAAAAAATTCCCCTGTTTCCCCCCCCCGGAAATTCCCCTTTAACGGCGGATTTGGGGAAGGGAACCCACGGGAAAAGATCCCACAAAAGCTCACTTAATAGTAATTAATATTTATTAATGATTTATAATGATTTAATTTAAATTTAATTCAATTTAACCCTTTAACAGCCAAGATTTTAAAGGCTCTCAGTCCTTTGGTGCCTCAGTTTTGTGTCCAGAGGAAAAAATTCCCATGTTTTCCCCCTCCGGAAATTCCCTTTAATTATTAATTAATAATTATTTATATAGTGGCATATTTAATTTAAGTTTAATCCAGTTTAGCCCCTCAACAAACAGCTTTTAGAGGCTCTCTCGGGCCTTTGGGGCCTCGGGTTCGTGTCCAGAGGAAAAAATTCCCGTGTTTTCCCCCCTCGGAAATTCCCTTTAACGGCGGATTTGGGGAAAGGAACCCACGGGAAAAGATCCCACAAAAGCATCTCAATAGTAATTAAGAATTATTAATTATTTATAATTATTTAATCCAGCTTAGCCCCTCAACAGCCAAGTTTTTGAAGGCTCTCAGTCCTTTGGTGTCTCAATTTTGTGTCCAAGGAAAAAATTCCCCTGTTTTCCCCCCTCGGAAATTCCCCTTTAATGGTGGTTTTGGGGAAAGGAACCCACAGGAAAAGATCCCACAAAAGCATCTCACTTAATAGTAATTAATAGTTATTAATGATTTATAATTATTTAATTTAAATTTAATTCAATTTAACCCTTTAACAGCCAAGATTTTAAAGGCTCTCAGTCCTTTGGTGCCTCAGTTTTGTGTCCAGAGAAAAAAATTCCCATGTTTTCCCCCCCCGGAAATTCCCTTTAATTATTAATTAATAATTATTTATATAGTGGCATATTTAATTTAAGTTTAATCCAGTTTAGCCCCTCAACAAACAGCTTTTAGAGGCTCTCTCAGGCCTCTGGGGCCTGAGTTTTGTGTCCAGAGGAAAAAATTCCCGTGTTTTCCCTCCCCGGAAATTCCCTTTAACGGCGGATTTGGGGAAGGGAACCCACGGGAAAAGATCCCACAAAAGCATCTCAATAGTAATTAAGAATTATTAATTATTTATAATTATTTAATCCAGCTTAGCCCCTCAACAGCCAAATTTTTGAAGGCTCTCAGTCCTTTGGTGTCTCAATTTTGTGTCCAAGGAAAAAATTCCCCTGTTTTCCCCCCAGAAATTCCCCTTTAATGGTGGTTTTGGGGAAAGGAACCCACAGGAAAAGATCCCACAAAAGCATCTCACTTAATAATAATTAATAATTATTAATGATTTATAGTTATTTAATTTAAATTTAATCCAATTTAACCCCTCAACAAACAGCTTTTAGAGGCTCTCTCAGGCCTTTGGGGCCTTGGAAATTCCCTTTAATGGTGGTTTTGGGGAAAGGAACCCACAGGAACCCAAAGGAAAAGATCCCACAAAAGCATCTCAATAATGATTAATAATTAATAATTATTTATAGTTATTTAATTTAAATTTAATCCAGTTTAACCCCTCAACAAACAGCTTTTAGAGGCTCTCTCAGGCCTTTGGGGCCTCGGGTTCGTGTCCAAGGAAAAAATTCCCGTGTTTTCCCCCCTCGGAAATTCCCCTTTAATGGTGGATTTGGGGAAAGGAACCCACAGGAAAAGATCCCACAAAAGCATCTCACTGAATAGTAATTAATAATTATTAATTATTATTTATTTACAGTTATTTATTAGAAATTATAAAGATAAATTCTGTTTTTAAATTATGTTATAAATGCAAGATTATAAATACATAATTCATTATATAAATAAATATTATATAAATAAATTAATAATTATTTATTATTTATTTAGTTATTTAATTTATTAGAAATTATAAATTCTATTTTTAAATTATGTTATAAATGTCAATTATAATTATATAATTTATTATATAAATAAATTAATAATTATTAATTATTATTTAGTTATTTGATTTATTAGAAATTATAAATTATAAATTCTATTTTTAAATTATGCTATAAATGTCAATTATGAATTACAAATATATAATTTATTAGATAAGTAAATGAATAATTATTATTATTTATAATTGTTTAATTTATTCTAAAATATAAAGATAAATTATATTTTAAATTATATTCTAAATATAAATTATAAATTATAAATATATAATTTATTATATAAATAAATTAATATAATTGTTATTTATAATTATTTAATTTGTACTAAATTATAAATGTAAATATATTTTTGAATTATATTCTAAATGTAAATTATAAATTATAAATACATTAAAGATTATATAAATAAATATAATTAATTGTTATATAAATAAATTTATTTGTATAATCTTATATCATTATATATAAATATAATATATTATTATATAATTATTATATTATATAATGCAGTGTATAAATATATTTTTATATAATATATATGATATATAAATAACGCATTTTTATATTTATTTATAGATAATATATAAATACATTTATATACAATATATAATGTATATAATATATATAATATATAAATAATGCATTTTTATATATAAAATATATATTAAAAATATATATATAAATATATATAAAATGTATATATAAAATATGTTTATATATTGTATTATATTTTATTTGTATAATATGATATATAAATATATATTTTTATATAAAATATATATGTGTATTTTTATATATATAAAATATATATAAAAATATATATTTATATATATTTATGTGTATTTTTATATAATCATATTTTATATGGGAATAACGAGGTTTAACGGGAATAACAAAGTTTCACAGGAATAATGGGGTTTCACGGGAATGATGAGGTTTAATGGGAATATATAAATATATGTATAAATTTATATATATTATTATTATATGTAATTTATTTACAATTATTTATAACTTATTAATATATATATTTAAATATATATTTATTTTTATATAATCATATTTTATATGGGAATGACATGGTTTAATGGGAATAACGAGGTTTAATGGGAATAACGAGGTTTAATGGGAATAACGAGGTTTAATGGGAATAACAAGGTTTCCTGGGAATAACAAGGTTTAACGGGAATAACGAGGTTTCACGGGAATGACAAGGTTTCACGGGAATGACGAGGTTTCACGGGAATGACGAGGTTTAATGGGAATGACGAGGTTTAATGGGAATGATGAGGTTTCCTGGGAATGACGAGGTTTAACGGGAATGACGAGGTTTCACGGGAATGAGAAGGTTTCCCGGGAATAACGAGGTTTAACGGGAATAACGAGGTTTCCTGGGAATAACGAGGTTTAACGGGAATGACGGGGTTTAATGGGAATAACAAGGTTTCACGGGAATGACGAGGTTTCCTGGGAATAACAAGGTTTCACAGGAATGACGGGGTTTAATGGGAATGACGAGGTTTAATGGGAATAACAAGGTTTAACGGGAATGACGAGGTTTCCTGGGAATGACGAGGTTTCCCGGGACTGAGAAGGTTTAACGGGAATAACGAGGTTTAACGGGAATGACGAGGTTTAACGGGAATGATGAGGTTTAACGGGAATAACAAGGTTTAACGGGAATGATGGGGTTTCCTGGGAATGACGGGGTTTCCCGGGACTGACGCGGTTTCCCGGGAATTGTGCCCAGGCACAACGGGAACATCCTGCTGGACGCCGAGGGCCACATCATCCACATCGACTTCGGCTTCATCCTCTCCAGCTCCCCCCGGAACCTGGGCTTCGAGACCTCGGCCTTCAAACTCACCTCCGAGTTCGTGGACGTGAGTGGGGGCACCGGCACGGCCGGGGGGGGTTGGGAGGGAATTCCCACCCCATTCCCGGGTTTTTTTCCCCTCTCCCACCAGGTGATGGGGGGCCTGGACGGGGACATGTTCAACTACTACAAGATGCTGATGCTGCAGGGGCTGATTGCGGCCAGGAAACACATGGACAGGGTGGTGCAGATCGTGGAGATCATGCAGCAAGGTGGGAAAGGGGCAATCCCAGGGGAAAAGGGGCAGCAAGGTGGGAAAGGGGCAATCCCAGGGGAAAAGGGGCAATCCCAGGGGAAAAGGGGCAGCAAGGTGGGAAAGGGGCAATCCCACGGGAAAAAGGAGCTCTCATCTCCCCCACTGACTCCCAAATTCCCCGATTCCCAGGCTCTCATCTCCCACACTGATTCCCAAATTCCCTGTCTCTCCCAGCCTCTCCTGACTCCCGAATTCCCTGATTCCCAGGCTCTCATCCCCCCCCCCGACTCCCAAACTCCCTGTCTCTCCCAGCCTCTCCTGACTCCCAAATTCCTGATTCCCAGGCTCCCAGCTCCCCCCCTGACTCCCGAATTCCTGATTCCCAGGCTCCCATCTCCCCCCCTGACTCCCGAATTCCTGATTCCCAGGCTCCCAGCTCCCCCCCTGACTCCCGAATTCCTGATTCCCAGGCTCCCAGCTCCCGTGTTTCCACGGCTCCTCGACCATCCGGAACCTGAAGGAGCGTTTCCACATGAACATGACGGAGGAGCAGCTGCAGCTGCTGGTGGAGCAGATGGTGGACGGGAGCATGAGATCCATCACCACCAAGCTCTACGACGGCTTCCAGTACCTCACCAACGGCATCATGTGACCGCATTCCCAAAAAAACACCCCCGGATCCCGCCTCCCCGCCCTCGGGAAAGGAGGAGCTTCCAGCGGGAGCGGCGTCTTTTCTTCTCTCCTCCCCCCTCCGGGAGACTCTTCCCAGGGGTGGGACCGACCCCGAGGACACGCAGGAAAAAAAAAAAACCCACAGGAAAACAACGAGAGGGAAAAGGAAAAAGAAAAAGAAAAATACGAAAGAAAAAACGAAAAAAAATAACAAAAAAACCAAAACAGGAAAAAAAAACAGGAAAAGCCAGGACAAAAAAAAAAAAAAACACAAACAAACAAAACTATCCCAAATAGCCCCCCCCCTTCCCGCTGGTGGAAATCATGGAATCATGTGGAAAACGGGGCTGGGGGAGGAGGGGGAGGAAGGAAAGGGGGGAACCCCTCAGGGGGGGTCCTGGAGCCCCCCCCAGAATCCATGGAATGTTTGGGATGGGAAGAGGGGGGGCAGCAGAGCCGGATCCCGACGGTCCCTTCCCTGCAGGGATCCCCCCCCGGGATGGGCAGGAACGGCCGGGGGGGTCCTGGAGATTCCAGGGGGGGTCCTGGAGATTCCAGGGGGGGTCCTGGAGCTGCTGCCTCCTCCTCCTCCTCCTCCTCCTCCTCCTCCTCCTCCTCCTCCTCCTCCTCCTCCTCCTCCTCCTTGCTCCCTGATCCAGGAATTTGGGATTTGGGACTGGGACGCTCCTTCCCTGCCTCCATTCCCGGGGATTTCGGGGGGGGGATCCCGGGGGTGTCTCCCCAGGATGGGGTTGGGGGGTGGGGGGGGAGGACCCAGAGCCTTCCCAACCCCCCCGGGAAGGGAAAACACCCCCAAAATTCCCTCCCCCAGGCTCGGGGGGGGATCCCCCTCTCCCCCCCTCTTGTGTCCGACCCCTCTCTTGGCTTTAAGAGCAGTGACCCCCCCCCTGCACCCCAAATGTCCCCCCCAAATGTCCCCCCAGTGTCCCCAGATGTCCCCCCCAGGCTCAGCCCGTCCTGCTGGTCAGATGGGGACGCTCTGACAGCGTCCAGTGTCCCCCCCCATCCCCGTGTCCCCCCCTCAGTGTCCCCCCCCCCGTGTCCCCTCAGTGCCCCCTCCCCCTCCAATCTCTTTGTTTAGCACTAATTATTTGTCACGTTTGATGATGATTATTTAGCATTAAAAACCAAAAAAATTCTATTTTAAAAAAAAAAAAGAAACAAAACAAAACCCGCTGGCAGGACCCACCTGGGAGAGGGGAGGGGGGGTTTCAATCAAAGGGGGGGGTCCCAGCACTCGGGGGGGGGGACACAAAGAGGAAGGAGGGGACACCAGGAGGAAGGAGGGGACACCAGGAGGAAGGGGGGGGACACTCAGCCCCTTCCCCACCCCCTGTTTTGGGGCAGGACCAAAAGCTTTGGGATGGGGACCAAAATCCTTGGGATGAGATTTTTTTTTGGGGGGGGGGGGGGGGGGGAGAGGCCACAGGACCCCCCCTTGACCCCCCCCCCAGGCCACAGGTGAAGCAAAGACAGGGCACAGCAGGGGTTAAACCACTAGAAGTTTAATTAATTGCATTATTACTACAAGAATAAAGGATTCCTGAGAGCCTCTCGCAGTGCCCGGAGCTTTCATGGAGCACAAATTCCTCCAACCCCCTTCCCCCCCCCAAAAAATCCAGGTGTGCACCCCCCCAAAACCTTCCCCCCCCAACAGAAATCCAGCTAAAGGCACTGAAGTGCTTGGAAACCAAGGTTACAAAGCCATAGTTTTTCTTTATTTTTAACGTTTTTCCTTCCTCTAAAACTCGTAGAAACTTTAGGGTTTGGGGTTTTTTTAATTTTTCTCTATTATTAAACAGCATTTACAGGGTCAAGGCCCCAACACCCCACGGAGGGGGGGGTCACACCCGGCCCAGGGGATTTGGGAACCACTTGGAATCCTCTCCTTTTCCTTTGAAATCCTCCCCCTTTTCTCTCCTGGAATTCCCCATCTGGAATCCACCTGCAGCGAGGGGAGGGGGGGAGGATTCACCCCCTGCCCCCCCAAACAAAAAAAAAAAGGAGAAAACCAAGGGAGAAAAAAAAATAAAAATCAAGAAATCAACCCCCAAAAAAACCAAAATAAGGGAAAAAAAACAACAACAAAAAAACCCCCACAAAACCAAAACAAAGCCCCAAAATCACAACAGCAGTTGGTTGGTTCTGTCACCTTTAGTGTATGATACAAGTTCACAGGGCGGGTTAGAGGGAGTTTATTCACAGGGAATTCCCGGGATAACGAGTCCAAAGAGTCTTTTCCGGTTGTTTTTTCGGGGGGACCTGGTGATGAGGAGGGTCCCCCCTGGTCCCAAAATATCCCGAGGAAGAGGAGCAGCCGGGAAAACAAGGGAAGGAGCCTCTCTGGTTTCAGTCCAGAGCAGGATTTGGGAGCAGAATTCCCTCCTTTCCTTCCCCTGGAGAGCAGCACGATCCTGGTTGGAATGTGGGGAGACCCCCCCCTTGTCCCTGGGCTCTCCCAGAGGCGTTTTTTGGGCTTGTTATTCCTTATCCAAAGGGAAATTTCCTCCTCCTCCTCCTCCCCAGGGAATGCCGAGTGTCCCAAGGACAGCAGAAGCGATGGATGAGCCCAAGGGCTGGATGATCCCAAGGGCTGGATGATCCCAGGGGCTGGATGATCCCAGGGGATGGATGAGCCCAGGGGCTGGATGATCCCAAGGGCTGGATGATCCCAGGGGATGGATGATCCCAGGGGATGGATGAGGGACCCCTCCGAGGGGCTGATGGAGCCCAGCCCCGTTCCAGGAGTCCGGGATCGGCTCCTTTCCCGCAGCTCCCGGCGAAACTCAACAACAAAAAACAAAAACATCCGAAAGGGAAAGAAAACCGGAAAAAAAAACACCCAAAAAAGGGGATTTTTGCTGTGTGAGGACGTGGAAAAGCCTCCCCTTGGTCCCAGGTCCTGCCCAGCTCCGGAGCAGGGACAGGGAAGGGCCCCTCGGTGAGTCCGGACGTGGCTCCTCCTCTCCTGGAGCCGAAATCCGGGGGATTTGGGATCACCCCCAATTCCCAGGGGATGAGGCAGGAGCAGGTTCAGGCACAGAGTCAGGACAGCTCATCCCATCCCATCCTGGTTCTCCTCTCTCTTCCCAGCTCCTTCATCAGGATGGAGGGAAGGGGAGCCCGGGGCTGTTATTTACACTGTTCCCACCGGGAATGCCGTGGATCCCGGGGGAATTCCCGAGGGGTGATGATCCAGGGGGAACTCCCAGGGAGGGCTCCCTCAGTTCTCGAGGCTGTTGGGCTGTTGTTCCACTCCATGGTTCCCAAGGGGGAATTCCAGAGGGAATTCCAGAGGCCAGGCTGGGCTCTCCCTCAGTTCTCGGGGCTGTTGGGCTGTTGTTCCATGCCGTGGGTCCCGAGGGGGAATTCTGGAGAGAATTCCAGAGGGAATTCCAGAGGCCGGGCTGGGCTCTCCCTCAGTTCTCGGGGCTGTTGGGCTGTTGTTCCACTCCATGGGTCCTGAGGGGGAATTCCAGAGGGAATTCCAGAGGCCGGGCCGTGCTCAGTTCTCGGGGCTGTCGCTGCGCGGGGTCCCGAGGGGGAATTCCAGCGGGAATTCCAGAGGCCGCCCCTCAGTTCTCGGGGCTGTTGTTCTGCCTGGCCCTGATGAAGGCCATGCCGTGGGTCCTGAAGTGGGTCTTGAGGTTGAGCTGGCTGTCGAAGCCCCTCCCGCACACTTTGCACACCAACTTCCCGTCGTTCCCCGCGCCCTGGGATCCCCCTTCCCGGGGGCTCCGCGGCCCCTGGGCGGGATCCTCCCCGTCCCCGGGGCCCTTCTTCTTCTTGTGGGTGATGAAGCGGTGGCGGTTGAGGGACACGTGGGAGGTGAAGCAGAGCCCGCACTCCCGGCACTGGTGGGAGCTGCCGTCAGTCCGGTGCTGCGGGATGTGCTCCTGGAAGTCGGAGGCGCTGCTGGCCAAGTACCCGCACTTGCGGCACCTCAGGGGCCCTTTGCGCTCCCCCTTGGGGGTCTTGGAGGGGGGGGTGGTGCTGTCGGGCTCCTCGCTGCAGGAATCGTCCGAGGAGAGTTTCCTCTTCCGGCCCGAGAGCTGCGGGAGGGACGGAGAGGGTTCCCTGGGAAGCGGGGTCGGAAGGAACCGACCGGCGCCGGGATCTCCCTCGGGGGGGATTCCCTGGGATCGAGGGATGGGGGGGGCACCGAGAGCTGTGGGATCCCACCCAAGGGGGGTCCCAGAACAGGTGGGATCCCATCCAGGGATCCATCCAGGGATCCTGCCCAAGGGGGTTCCAGAACAGCTGAAATTCCATCCCAGGGGGTCCAAGAACAGGTGGGAATCCCATCCAGGAATCCCATCCAAGGGGGGTCCCAGAACAGGTGCGATCCCATCCAGGGATCCATCCAGGAATCCCATCCAAGGGGGGTCCCAGAACAGTTGGAATCCCATCCAGGGATCCATCCAGGAATCCCATCCAAGGGGGGTCCCAGAACAGCTGGAATCCCACCCAGGGATCCATCCAGGAATCCCATCCCAGGGGCTCCAGAACATCCCCACCCCCCCGTGTCAGGCCCCTCACACCCTGGGGCACATCCCGGGCGATCTCCGACGGGACATTCCCACTTTCCTGCAGGACACGGAGTCAGGAACAAACCAGGAAACGCCTCCAAACCCCCCCAAACCCCCCCTGAGCCCCCCCGTACCTGGGAGGGGCCGCTCCCGATCCGGGAAATCACGACCTCCTGGCTCCTCATCTGGTCCGTGACCTTGATCCCGTGCCGGACCTGGATGTGCTTCTCCAGGATGAGGCGGCTGCTGAAGGTCCTTTTGCCCTCCGTGCAGTACCTGGGGTGGGACAGGACCTCGGGAAGCTCCCAAGCCCTGCTGGTTCCCCTGGGAACGCCGCTCTGGCGCCCCAATCCCAAACCCCAAACCCCGAACGTGCTCGACAACAAAACCCCGGAGCCGTTCCCGGCTCCTCCCGCTCCGTGTCCGACCTCCCTCCTGCCCTGCCCGGATCCAAGCTCCCCCCCGGGGGTTTCCCAGCCCCCAGTGTTCCCGGGAAGGGGATGGATCCCGTGGGTACCTGCAGGGATAGACCCGTTTGATGCCCTCGTGGTTGACCCGGACGTGCCGGCGCAGGCTCGGGGCCGAGCAGAAGGAGCGTTCGCAGAGGTGACACGGGAACTTCTTCACCGACTGC